AAGTATTTTCATGTTTTAATAGATTAAACTATTGTTTTCACTCGAATACATACATGTTTATTATTGTCATTGGGGGTATTTTCGGAGAAAGTATATCAGGCCTAGTCTATGACTTGTAAGACCTTACCATAGCCTCCTCTGCTTTGTGTATAGGGTAAGTCCTTACCACAAGTCCTTATGATATATGTATAAGGCCCTTACCGGGTGTAAATGTGGGTGTATAGTTCTGGGAAACCTACACATTCTGGTGATCGGATGTAAGTAGTGTTCATATTTTTAAAGCATGTTTGATGAACTATTTTTTTACTGAAGTATTTTATCTGTATGTTTTTATACATCGTAAGGAGCACACTGTGCTTTTTAGCTCATTCTGTAAATTTTAACCTTTTCAGATAGTAACAGACCGTAGACTATCAGATTTGGCATCATGAGGACCGACTACTCCTATTTTTGTACCACTGTATATCTCTATATGTCTTTTTGTTATACTTTGGCTACACATGTTTTTGCTACTGTTTTGATATATTTGTATTACCAGTATTTTGTTTTGTATATGTTTTATATGGTTTTCCATTATATGTATATATATATCTTATGAATCTTTCTTATGACTAATTTTATATTATATTTTTATATGGATTTTAATATTATTTTAAATATGAAAAGAATTTCTGAATACGATATGTAACCACCTAGATTTGGTCATAACGTCGAGACCGGGTATAGGGGTTATAAAATTGAAAACGATGAATATTATAGCATAACAAAAGCAATGACATAATACCGTACATGTGTATATTACCTACAAAATTTAAAGAATTGTTTTCATCTAGTATTATAAAAATTTAATATTAAATATATATACAGGTAATAATAAAAAACGGTAATTAAAATTTTAAAACAATATAAATTTATATAAAAGATTTGAAATAAAAAATCGTGGACAAATAAAAAGAATTTCACTATAATAAGATGATAAATTACAACAACAAAAATTATAAGAGACTCAATTACCACAGATTTCTATTTTTCTATCTATTTTAGATTTTTTATCAAATAAATAATACCATAGTTTTATTTTAATTATCTGCTAGAGTGATTATAAGATAATATATGTTTAGAATTATTTTAACAAATTGATAACACATTCTACAAATATAATTGTTAAAACTCAAAACTTCTAAAAAGAGTAATATTCTTTTCTACCGCTAAAAACATTTGATAAATTCTCGTATCACAATTTTTTTTGGATTATGAACAGTTATTCATCATCGTAATATTAGTTTAATACCAAAGTTTCAAAGAATATTAACACTACCATATAAAAATATTCCTTAATAATTACTTGATTGACACCTGTCAAGTTATAGCAGTTTTTCTCCCTTATTAATATATATATGCGTTTAAGATTCTCTTGAATTATGATTATTCTATATTTGTAATTCACTTGCATAATTTCGACTATAAATTTATATTCTTCTTTAACATTACTTTTTTTCGTCTAGAATTTTTCATATAAAATATGGCGGCTTAATATGTTTTCTTTCCTTTAATATACTCCTCTTAATTATTTTATTCGGTTTTATAATATTAATAATATTTTGATGTGAAATATGAAATATGATGTGAAATATTTTTTTTTAAATTTTGATGGAGATTTAGGCTGCCAAAACACTATATATACACGTCTCGGTGTCATCGACTATGCCCATAGCTTCATTACCTGCAATTGCTTTCTTGTCTTTTTTCCAGAGTTTGAAACCAGTGGAAACGATGGCTTCAACCGGTGAAACCCAAAAGACTCCGATCCATACCTCCGATGAGGAAGCAAACTTGTTGGCCATGCAACTTGTGACTGGATCAATCCTACCCATTGTGCTTAAGTCAGCCATAGAACTTGACGTCTTGACCTGCTCGAGATCATGGTGAAAGCCGGTCCAGCTGTTTTCCTTTCCCCGGAAGAAGTTGCTTCCAAGCTTCCCACCACCAACCACGATGCACCAGTTATGCTAGACCGCATCTTCCGTCTCCTAGCGAGCTACTCCGTCCTCACTTGCAACTCCACCACCCTTCCTGACGGCAAAGTCGTGAGACTCTATGGTCTCGGCCCTGTCTGCAAGTTCTTGACCATGAACCAAAATGGTGCATCTCTTTCCAGCCTGAGTCTCATGATTCAAGACAAGGTCATTATGGAGAGCTGGTATGTGTGGAAATATATTGATTTATACGTTTGATTTACTAAACATTTTCAACAATATACGTTGGACTGTTTTCAGGTACTACTTGAAAGATGCAGTGTTGAATGGTGGGATTCCATTTAACAAGGCTAATGGCATGGGCGTATTTGAGTACCTTGGCAGAGATTCTAGACTCAATATGATTTTCAATAAGGGAATGTCTGATCACTCCACCATTCTCATGAAGAATATTCTTGAGATGTACGATGGCTTCGACGGACTAAAAACATTGGTCGATGTGGGCGGTGGTACCGGAGTCACCCTTTCCATGATCGTCTCCAAGTACCCCCACCATCAATGGCGTTAACTTCGATTTACCTCATGTCATTAAGAATGAACCTGCTTACCTAGGTATAAAATTATCCTTGCCTCACAAGTAATTGGAATGATTACCAATAGCGATTTCAGAAAAAACTCCATTTTTTATCTAAAATAATTCGTATATGTTTTTAATTTAAAAATATAATAAAAATTATATATATATATATATATACTGGATAAATCTAGAAAAAAAATATTAATTGGATCAATATAATTTTCTTAACATAATTTGTACATATTTTTTTAGGGTAAACTAATTATTTATACACTCATCTACTACTTAATTTAATTTTTGGTCACACAACTATTACTTTCTCAAAATCATACATAATCTTACGTCTTGGTTCTATTTTGATCATCTACAGTTGAAAAATTAACAATGATGTTAATATGACTTTTTAATTATTTTCAATTCTGATGCGACATTATCTTATGATGATATGTCAACATCACTGTTAATTTTTTAAAAATGAGTGACCAAAATATAACATTAAGTGTGATTTAAAATAAATAACGGTTGGGTGATTAAAACAAAAAATAATTAATAAGTGAGTGACTAAATCAGTGATATATTCTTTTCGGGCATAAGGTGGGACACGACCTAGGTAGGCTTAGGCCAGGATACGCCCATGTTAATATATTTCCGTATTAAAACTTGACTTTTTCATTCAAATTAAATTGTTTCGAACATAGGTGTGAAACATGTTGGCGGAGACATGTTTGAAAGTGTTCCAAAAGGGGATGCCATGTTCATGAAGGTGTGTTCATTCAACTTAAAATCATATACATTAAGAATTTTATCAGCCTAATTAATCAGAACACTATACTATTGATATCTGTGTGCTCGTGTAGTGGATATGTCACGCTTGGAGCGATGAACAGTTGAACACTGCTCGAAATTCTTGAAGAAGTGTTACGAAGCTTAACCGGACAAGGGAAAAGTGATAGTTGCCGATAGCATTCTTCCGGATCACCCAGATTCGAGTCTCGCCACGAAGTTAGTTGCCACTTTTGATTGCATCGGGATGGCTCACAACACCGGTGGAAAAGAGAGGACCGAAAAGGAATTTGAGGCCCTGGCAAAGGGTGCTGGATTTCAAGGCTTTCGAGTAAAATTTTCTGCTTTCGGCACCTATATCATGGAGTTTCTCAAAACTGATTGAATCTTTGTTTTAGACTGCTAAATAAAAGATATATCCAATAATATCAATACTTTCGATTCCACCGCTTGAATCGAAATGTTTAATAATAATAATAAATCTTAATAAAGTATGACTTGTGTACTTGCACCACACAAATCTTCTCTTTTCTTCTCTTCTCTTCTCTTCAACAAAGTTTTAAAGCACTTTTTTATTAAGCTAAAAATATTATACAGTAGTATATATTTTAAATATTTTTAATTATTCGATAATAAATATTCAATCATCCTTATAGTTGTTGGTGTTTAAATTTGTGAGTTCTAGAAATAATAATGCTTCTTTTAATTATTGAGATAAATTGGTTCGGGCGTAGTTTTAAAGCACGAATTTATAAAATGGGTAAACATTAAGAATTAAAATATTAAAAATATAAATTACATTTTTTTAAGATTTTATGTTATAGATAATTTTTTTCTTATTAAACGAGTAATATAAAAAATTAAATCATGTTGAATAAAATTTGAATCATAATCATCAACGACTAGTTGGTTTAGTGCGATGAGACACTAGATTCAAATTAGTCAGAAGGGTTAAAGATTCGAATCATGAGATTTACGAATGGAGAAAATTGAGTTGTGAGGGTTAATTGATCAATAGATTAATTTATCAATAGATTGATACCAATAATTATGAAAAAAAATGAATCATAATTCATAATATTAAATAAAATTAATTACCTAACCCTATTTCAAGTAGCACCTTTCGAATAGATTTCCCTCGTACACGTGATTGAGAATGAAAAGAACAACCTGCAAAAGCCTTTGTTTTCAACTGAAAGGCCAAAGAAATTATTTAGCAATTGCAGTTGAAGCACGATGACGAATAAAAACAAAAATGATGTGGAAAAACTGATAGAAAAATATTTAATATAAATAAATTAATTAATTAATTAATTAATAGCCTAGACGGGACCCGAAAACTATCCAAGTTCATTCACCTGTCCGACTTCAGCATAGTAAGGTAAGAAATAACGCGTCCATATTACACTGTTAAAACCCGTCATAAAAAATTATCATCATTTCATCCTAATTTAAGGACTTTTATTATAAGCTTACCCACCATCTATAAAAAAAATGAATTTTAGCTAAATCTTTTTCAAAAGGTTGATTGTATTATCGGTATCGTTTTACACTGACGTACCTTCCACGAACCTGGAAAAGGCAAACAGTAACTTGACTTAAGTTGACTTGATTCCTTATAAATTTCATAAGCTTTGAGCTTTCCTTCAAAACCAAAGCTTTTACAGCACCTTCTTCTTCTAATATCCTCCCTTTCTCCCCCATCCCATTTCCCCAGTTTTGCTACGCAGAGTACCCCCAGATCTCGAAAATGAAGGTTCGATATATATACATATACATATACATTGCTTTTACACTTTGGAGTCTTGCTTTCATCGAAATATTAACAGAAACTGGTTTCGCTTCTTTTTTTCTTCCGACAGAAGGTTGTGTTGAAATTGGATTTTCACGACAACAAATGCAGACAGAAAGCCATGAAGATAGCCTCTGGTGTTTCAGGTATTGTAGTTCATAGTCATATAATCCTGATTAACTTTGGAATCGAATCGGATTTCATTTTGAAAACTAACTCTAAAATGAATTTATTTATTTTTATTGGCAGGGGTCGAATCAGTTGCCATGGATAAGGATCAAAAACTAACGTTGACAGGGGTCATTGATCCGGTGGAGGCAGTGAGGAAACTAAGGAAGTTATGTCACACCGAAATAGTTTCGGTCGGACCGGCGAAAGAGCCGGAGAAGAAGAAAGAAGAGCCGAAAAAAGAGGAAAAGAAAGTCGAAAAGAAGGAGGATCCCAAGAAAAACCAGCAGAAAGATGTTATAGTAACCTACCCGTACCCGCCGGTCGCCCAATACTATCCTCCGGTGCCCTATTGTTACTCTTACGGTAAAATCGTTGAGGAAGATCCAGCTGGTTGCATTATCTTGTAAATTTTTGTTCTTATAGATTATATATTCGAGTACCGTTAATGAAGAAGACGAATAAATTTTATCTTTTGTATTTTCAGACAAACACTCAAAGCTGAAAGCTCTCAAATTTTGATATAAGCTCCCAAACCTCCAAAACAATATTATTTGTGTTGAATTCCATGCGTTTTAAAGAATTTTTGTAAAAAATTAAATTGAGTTCATTCGTGATCACAAAACAAATTAAAAAAATAATATTTTCTGACGACCGATTGAAAAAAATCTTTTTTTTTTCTTTTTACTTTGGTATCGGTATAAATGAAAACTGAAAAAAAAACTTGAATATAAAGAACTAATTAACTAAATGAATGAATGGAAATTGAGTATTCAAGAATACTGCTTTCAAGCCAAGTAACTATTAAAAGTTTCTTTAAATTTCGTCACCAACGGCTGACGCTACTGGGCCAGATCTTTTTCAAACACGTGATTGAGAAAGAAGGACGAATATCCACTCGACCCAACGGCGAAATTGTATAGCAATTGCAGTGGCACCTGATACAAAACCAAGTTTAATCAATTAACATATTTATTATTATTTTAAGGCTTAATAGAAAAAAGTGTTTAAATTATATTTTTTTGGTTTAGTGTAATTTTTTTCCGGTTAATCTAAGTGGTTAATATTATAAACGTTATCATTTTAAGTGTTCTAACTGTAACGATCGTTAAAAGATTTTGTCAAGTCGCACGTATCATGTTATATGATAATTTTAAACATTTTATTTTAAATAAAAACTTAAAATTTTCTCAAATCTTATAAAAATTTTAATTTCAATCCTTCTATTTACGTTGGTGGTCGTCAGCCTTTGTCACTGTCATTGCCGTCGACTGAACCTATTCCTGATCATGTCTCCACCTGACAATCAGTAATCATCTGATGAAATCCGACTAGGAAGAATTAGGACGAAAGAGGGAGGGAAGGGGAGGAATTTTGCCGCAAAGAATTTGATACATGGTGAGGGGAGGTTTGCACAGGGCGGGCTTGGTGTGGTGGGGGATAACTTTTTTTAATGATATTTTAATTTTAAAAATATAGATATTTAAAATTTTACAAAAGTTGCACGTGTTATGTTATCGTAATTTTAGAAAAATTTAAATTTTTTAAATATAATAATATTTTTTTATATTTTTTTAATAAATTTTTAAAATTACTATAACGTGACATGTGTCACTTAACAAAAAAAAATTAACGCAATTATAGTCAAGACACTTAAAATAGTAATGTTTGAAATGATAGGCACCTAGATTGACCGAAAAAAGTTTAGGCACCTAAATGAGAAAAAATATATAGTTTAGGAAATTACTTTTATATTAAGCCTTATTTTAAATAGGGTAATGTACTGATCCCTCGACTATAGAGTGTTGTTTTATTGAGTCCCATGACTAATAAAAGTTACAAAATGATCACTCAACTATTCATATATTCTAAACTCGCTCTTTTCTCTTAAAAAATTGGTGGTCATCTGAGCTGAACGTTAACATGTAGACCAGAATATGATAAAATCTGATCACACAACCATTTGAGCTATATTTTGTGCATCGAATCTCCATTTACATTATGTCATCAAGCTATTGCTTAAAGCGTTGATGTCGAACCAATACTTGAAAGTAACAACGATTCCATTAGATATCATTAAAATGTAATTTTATCATATTCAAATCAGTAGGTTAACGTCTAACTCAGACGACTATCAGTTTTTTTATCAAAAAAATGATGAGTTTGGAATATATGAATAGTCAAATGAATATTTTATAACTTTTAAAAGTTAGGGGATTCAACAAAAGAACACCCTATAGCCTGGGGACCATTTGTGTAATTTACCCTTTTAAACATAGATAACAAGATGGAAGAAGATCCCGCCGTTTGTGTTATCTGCTAAATTTTTGTTCCAATAGTTAATCAAATTATTTTAATTATTTTAATAATAAATTTCTGCAATATATACTTTTAATTATATAATGAAGAATATTTCATAAAATTCTGTTGAAAATGACTTGATGATAAAAACTTTATCGAGTCATTGTATTTTATTCTAATCATTTTAATATGTATATTTTTTAAAAAAAATAAAATTTTAATATTAACCTTAATGATTGTGATTAAACTTATTAAATCAAATTTTACTATCAGTTCTTGTATTATGTTTAAATTATAGATTTAATTTTTATTATTCAATTTCATCATCTAAATCTCGTAATCTTGAGAAACTGATCAAATTAGAATTAAATGATTAAGTTTAAAATTTATATATAATAGAAAAACTAATAATATAATTAATATTTTATAAAAAAATAATATTTATTATTTATTTATAATATGATCTTAATCAGCCTGTTCCCATCGTGGTGTTTTTCACTTTTTCCACACCACTTATATTTTTCAAATCCTAGAAAAAGAACCCTTCTTCTATGTGTCCCAATCAATCCACCCAAAAGTTATAAATAATAAACATTATGGTCAATAATGGCATGCTATGGAGCACATCCAAATAAAGCTTGCTCCTTCATTACACCCAAATTATAAAAGTTTGATGAACTTATTATTTTGATATTGAAATTTTAGTTAATAAAAAGTAAAATTTTTATTATACGAACTCATCAAGTGATCTTGGTGGCTAAGGGAAATGTTGTTCTTTCTATAGATTTTAGATTCGAGCAATTGCATCTATAAGATTATGTGATATCAATGGTTAAAAATAATATATATACTACTTTGTAATAACTTAACACAGTTTAAAAAAAACTCATTGTCACCCCTGTAAATTTAGAATTCCAAATTGACCCATTAGTAAAAATTTTCTTAGGGAAACTAGTGGAGATCATAGAGACAAAAAAAGTAGATAAGAGAAGAAAAAAACTCAATTGATTTTACATCAAATTTAATATTTGTTTTAGTTAGTTTATGGCAGGTTTTTTTTTGGATTAGTTTAATCTTTTAATTTTCATTCTGTTAGCATCGTTAGTTCGTAGATGTTTTCCGTTAAAAAATAATTTATGACCCAATTTAATTTTACCGCATGACATTTTTGTTAAAAAATTGTAAGTAAAATAAAAAAAGCTAAGATTATAATTTGTAATTTTAAAATATATATATATATATATATATATATATATAAAAATAATTATGCTTAAGTAATTTTAAAAATTCAAAAATTATAAGAATATAAAAAATCTAATAAATATTCTATTAATTTTTTAAAAAAATATTTTTTTTTAGATTTTTAGTTTTTTATTTTTTTTATTACACGTGGGAAATCTGGTTGAACCACTTCATTTATATATATATATTTTTAAGAGAAATTGTCCATAGATCAAAGTGATGATGTAATTGAAAGTTGAAATATCATATTGACTGAAAAAAATAAAACGACCAAAGTAAGAATTTTTCTAGAATAGAGGGGTTAAAGAAGTTATTAAACCTTAAAAATAGTAATATAATCTTTGCATAAGAATTGGATTTGATTTCCCTTCCTCGATTATTAAAAAAAACTTAAATCCTAATCAATAATATTATTAAATATTTGTATTTTGGAATCTATTGGATCTCAAACAAGTTTAATATATTTGATTAAGATATTGTGATTAAATACCCAATTGATGCGATGGATCCAATGCTTCTTGTTAGAAGTATTTTAGGCCTTAGTTGGATGTTTTAATTTAATTTTTTTAATAATAATTTGGATGATTATATGATAATATTTGTTTAGAATTTTTTTAATCTATTGACAATATATACCCATCTTGCCGACATAATTGTTTGAATACATAATTTTTAAGAAAAATAACATTTTCTTTTATTATTGAGATCACATGATGATTTTAATTTAATGTCGTTAATGAAGGGGAAATAAGGGGCACGGGGAAGTGCACTGGTCAGGCCATTGCCACGCTCGAGTTTTATCCAAGCTTGAACCGTCACTACGTCCCCCTCTTGTATACCTTCTTCACCCTCGGTCTCACATCTAACATCAACCGTTAGGGAAGGCATCATTTCCAACACCAAGTCAACATCTTGTACTTCAGCAGGAGAAAATCCTGCAGTTTGCGTTAGAAGTTGAGCACGATCTTCCATAGTCATGTCTCGAAGGTCTTGAAACGTTCTCACCTTCTGCAACAGAGCATAAATAACTCTTAACCGGGAGATAGGTTAAAAGGCCATGAAGCTTGGATTTCCCTAAGTAATCCAACTTACACAAAAACGAGCAAGAATCTTTCCGTTGTATTTTTGTACCATATATATCAGAGACCTAAAACCCCTAGACACTGCGAGGCTGTTGTTTTGACCTTTCAAATAACACTGCCACGCACATAACCACACATGATTTCAACTTAATTATTTTCTTATGTATTTGAAAATTATTTGGCAAAACAGAGTAGTTTCTATAAGCCAAATACTAGTAATCTTACACCTTATTATCCTGAAAATTAAGGATTTCCATGGCATCCACCCATGAAGTTGGTTTTGGCTACATTGTAATCACATGAAGCACAAATTGCTTCTTTATATTTTCACTCGAGAATTGGGTTTACGGAAGTACTTGAGTATAGAAAATCTTGAACATGTTCAGCAGGCACGATAATGTATTATTATTGGTCCTAGAAGTCTACTCAGACAGAAATGACAGGTGGGTGAAGCTGACCTTCAGTAATTCTTCCAGCAGTCGAGGTGCAAGTTCTAGCATGCGCTTGAAATCACCAAACAGAGCTGGAGATAAGGCAGCTGATTCATGGGTTAACTGTGCTTGAATCAACAACTCAGTCTGGATAGAAAATGACACAAAAGCAATCATAAGAAACTCTGTCAGGAATCAGAGTAATTAATTCTACTCTCTCCTTACAGATAAATCCTAGCAGTCAGCATATAGGTACCTTCACTATAGCTGGATGCTGCTTCCAAAATTTAGCTTGCTCTTGCTTAATGTTCTTAAGGTCCAGATTCAACTCACTCCTAACTGACATAAAAGCTTTTGGAGAGGTTCATCATCAGTCCTACGAACTGGAATCTCCATGTATTCAGCAGCCTTGGTGAAGACTTCCATGACTTTGCTGTAAATCAGGTAAAACAACAAATCAAATCATTTTGCAAAGAATAATACAAACTCCACAAATTCATACAGTTAAGGGATTAAAAAGAAATTCAATTAGACTTCCAAGAAATGTTAAAAATTATAGGTATCAGAATCAAAAGAAAAATTAAATCAAGGAAGTCAGAAATCTAGGTTATGAAACCCTGTACACACTTAAAATCCTCAAATACACTGATAACTGCTTTCGCTCAAGGTACAACATAATAATAACCAAAGCTTCGGTAAAAACAAGTTCATATGTAACTAGACATGAAAGGACGAAGGGACATCTTTATTTACTAATTATAGCCCCGACCCTAAAAGGGGGGGTTCTTGCTACTCATTGATTCACTGTAGAGTTTGTAATTAGTGATCATAAATATTTTTTTATTGAGAAGAGTACCTTGGGGCCAAAGAAGGCTTCATGAAATAATAGTAAGTGGATAGTGTTTGATGCATGACATAGTTTCCCGTGTACTTTGATGACCTTGATAGATATACGACAGCAATCACCAATGGCAAGAGAATACAAACACCAACAATCCAGAGTAAGAAAATGCCACCAGATGCTCCATCAATGTCCAGCAAGAACTGAGGAAGAGCAATGCCCATTTGAAAACCCTGCACCAAAAAGGTATGGCCTTGCCTTAACTCTTAAAGAGGGTTAATTATCTTATTAATTAGAAATTCAGAGTTAAATAAATCACTGCTTTTTCTAAAATATAAGAGACTGATTACTTGTGTTCCATCTGGATGTCCATATTTCTCGAAATTTTCATGGTATATTGGGTATGTGAGAGCTTGAGAAGCCTTGGCTATATACTCCACAAAATATGTGTGAGCCTCTGAAAAATAATATAATAAAATTGTTAATAAAGAAATGCTATCAATCAAGTGCTTTTTTTTCTTACTATGGCTACAGGAATTCATACAAAAATACGAGTAAAACACCTTCAACCTGGATCTGGATTTTTATCCGGATGTTATTGAACAGAAAGTCTCCTATATGCTTTCTTTATTTCAGAATCTGAAGCTCCATGTTCCAACCCAAGTATACTGAAAGGCTCAAAAACTTGAACCTGTATGAATAAAGAAAAACAGAGTAGTTCACTTAGTGCAACTCATAACAGCGATCTAGAACATAGGCATCACAGGAACTTCAACTGAATGATGACAGTAGCTGTAGCACAAGAGAACAACAGGAACTCTAACAGCAAGATAATAGCTAAAGAATCTCACATATGACTGATACTCTACTAATTGCATTTACCTCTCGACTAATGCTTTAATGTAATAAACCAAGAATATCATGATGGCCCAGAGCAGCACCAGAGTCAAATTACTACATGTTGATAAGTTTGAGATCTGCATGAACAAAACCAACCCATTCCAAAATCAGAATACACCATAACGCATACTAAATGCTGAAATTCCTCAAAAACTAAAAATTGAATAATAAATTAAACGGGCAGCAAAATGGCAGCTTACCCGCTTAAATATGGATTTGCGGTACTTCCCTGAGCAAGAGCATTCCGCGCACTGGCACTGAATTACCTTTGCTTCCTTGGATGCTGCTCGGCACAATTTGAGAATTGTATAGGGAACCAGAGGCAGTGTCATTATTGTTAAAATGAAAATTGGAAACATAGCACTATTCTCTTCCGAAGCAGCCATGGCGACCTTCTACCTTATACAAGTTCCAATCAGTTAATGCACAAGTAAAATCAGCAATTCTACAGTAACATACATTTCCTTCTACTATAATTTATATTAAATAAAAAAGTTGAACAGAAAATTCAATTACACATAAATATTTTTTAAAAATGCCTCATTTTAAAAACAAGAAAACCAGGTTAGGTCCTGAACTCCTGGCTCCTATTATTGGGGGGAAACAAAAAAAGCCCCAATTACAAACTGATGAATCTGGTACTGAAATGAAATTGAGCGTAAAGCTGCTAGCACCGCCAAAATCGACCAGCAGCTATTGTCTATTAGCTCAAACCAACTGGGATATTGAGTTAAAAATAAAGCAAAAAACAGTAGAAAATCCTAACATCCGAAATTGAAACGAAAATTCTAAGGACGTAAACTACAATTCGGATTAAAAACAATTAGCTGATATTCGAATAATCATTCGTGATTATAAAAAAATGTAAAAATTAAACATATTTGCATAACATCGAAAGAAATGAATATTAACCTGTGAAAAATAAATTTCAGATCACGATCTGCTTCAGAGACGACTCTGTGTACGATGGCGCCAGTCAGTGTAATAAAGAGGGGGAAATGTAAGTGAGATAGTAACGCTATACTCTTGCGTTTTGTAATGATTTTTAAGGATAAACTAATTGGTAGGCCACTCAATTATTAGTAAGATTATAAACTAAATATTTAATTTTTAAAGGCCACAAAAAAGTCAGTGAACCATTAAATATGAAACGGGTGATAGAAAATGCGTTAGAAAATATTTCTTAATGATTTCTTTATTGGAAAAATCACACCAAATGTCACTTGAGTATTTGTATGATTATAAATACATCAATCAATTTAAAAAAAAAAGTAAAAATGAGCCACTCATTTAATAAAAAAAATAAAAAATCATTTTGGATTTTAGAATTCTATTCGATATATAGGTTGTGATTGGTGAGAGGAAAAACACATCTCGATATTGAGACCACTTAATGATAGATCAGGGTTTAATTTGTTCAAAAAAAATTCTCGAAAATCTATTTTTATAAATTAAACAGTGAGATCAAAGTGAAATTTATTATAATACTTGAGGTTCATCGATTACCATATACAATTACACTGGACTTGATTATTATAATTGTGATTTGGCTTTATTATTATTGACATATCTCAAACATGCATTTACTTGATTGTCTTTCACCGACTTCGCTTGGGCTTGCAGCAGAGAAAAAGTTGTGGTTATATGATGAAATCGATGGGTCGAAATCTATTTCCATTTCTGGTAATATATATATAAACAAAACCTCCACTATAAACAATGAGTCAATGATGGAGAAAGCACAAACAATGGCCAAAAATGTTTCCAAGTGTTCTACTTTTTCATGTATACCTTTTTCAAATATCCTATTACCCGTTCAATCCAAATTATTATCCATTCAAATAATATAACATAAATTAATTCAATTGATTACATATTTATTAATATTTCAATAAAAATATGGTTTAAATCTCATTTAAGTTAATCAACAAATAAAACCCAATATCGCGTCGTCGATTTTAAAAAAATATTGAACTAAATATAATAACCTATTAACGAAATCTTATATCGGTCATGATAAAACGATATTACCAAATCCCTAAAGAGTTATCCTGCCAAACCCACAAAGTTTAAAGACACCTTCTTCTTCTTCTTCTTCTTCTTCTTCTTCTTCTTCTTCTTCTTCTTCTTCTTCTTCTTCTTCTTCTTCTTCTTCTTCTTCTTCTTCTTCGAATTCTTCTTTCCTTTCCATTATTTTCATACTCCCTCATCTCTTTCACCGTCAACTCAGCTGCCAACCCCACATTTGCAACATTTGTGTGGTTGCATGATCCATGCTAATCAAATACACAACTTATACTTGCAACTTATCCTACTTCCACACGATAATATAAGCTATATTTTCATATATCTTTGACCTAATCCATTCTAAATCCAATTGACTTTTCTTATCCTATTCGACTTTGTGTAATATGAGCTTGATCCATTTTAAAAGTAATTTTGAAATATACCTTTTTGGTCTTCTATTAGGGTTGTAAATGAGATGAGACGGATCGCAAGCTATTCGAGATCGACTCAATCAAGACTCGATAAATACTCTGATCGAATGGACTCGACTCGAGTTCTTAATGAGCCGAAACGAGCTACTTGATATTCGACTCGAAAAGCTCGTGAGCAACTCGAAAATATAATATATTAAGATTTTATTTAAAATAAATAAATTATTAATAATATTAATATTTATGTATTGATTTAAAAAATATAATAATATTTTCATGTATTTAAGGTTTAGGTTCGAGTTTGAGTTTGAGGCTTCAATCGAGTTAAATTTAATATTTTTTTTCATTTCGGGCCTTTTCGAGTTGCTCACGAGCTTCAGTTCAAGATTTCGAGTTCGAGTCGAGCTTGAAAATTTTAAGCTCGCGAGTTTTCGAGTCGAGTCGAGCTTAGCAATACTCGAGCTCGACTCGGCTCGTTTACACCCCTAACTTCTATACTTTACTATAATATAGTAATACTTGTTCTAAGTCTATATGACTCGTTTCTCATTAAAAAATAACAATGTTGGAAGATTTTCTTTGTACAACCCGGTTTTATTCAAAGTTTAAATGAAAGCTAATATATATATATATATATATTGTTGAGATTAACGATAGGAAATGAACTCAACTCTCGTAGAACTTGAGTTACACTTGAGTTGAACCCTAAACATTAAACTAACATTTGAGTTTAACTTACCCAATAATTAATTCAATTGACATATATGATTATTTTCATTAAATGATATTTAACAAAAGTTATTTTATTAGTTCATGTATTATGCATAAATTATTGATTTAATCTTTATATTTTTTATGACTTGTAGTCTTTGTACTTTTTAAATTTTAAAACTAAATTTTTTAAAACTTTAATTTTGACTCAAAACGATACTTAAACAATATGACTAAATTGTAATGACATAGAATGATCTTATTGAATAACATAAATCAAATGTATAACTTGCGCACAACGCATGGACTGATAGCATGGTTTGATTTAACAAAAATTGTTTAGGTCATGATTGAAATTTCAAATTTTAAAAGCTTAGACTAAAAAAAGGATGACAGTCATACTCTGAACAAACTCCATATGAAACATGAAGGCTTAATTTTTCCACCACGTCAATGTCTTTAGAGAATATCAATTATTGAGAGTGACACCTAACAAGGAGATTAAGAGGGCATATCAATTATCAATTGAATTTTAAACCTTGTCGAAGTAATTTGAAAATCAGGTGACAAAAACATAAATATTGTCAAAAATATGTGATGAAAAGCGTATTGCACACTAAAATATTCCATAACCCATATTAGCAAAGTTCTATACTTTCCACTCACAAGGTACGCTCGAATCGGACACCGTTCAAAATGCAAAGGATTCCAACTGAACAAAGCAAAAGCATCGCATTTATAAAACAAGGTTACACAAAAGGCAAGCAAACAGAGCTGCAATTCCACTAAAAATTCCCCCGTTTTCTTTCGTGCGGTAGCGGACCCACCAAATCACAATCGGAACATGCCACGTGGGGTTTGATCGTACGAATTGCGGAGGACCAATCGAACCATTGAGGACGGTTTGTAGCGTGCCGAACAACTGCTTTTGCATTCAATTCTCATTCCTTCGTATCAAAAGGAGAGCTCGCCGGCCGTGGCGAGCCTGCTGATGAGGACCGGTGGACCCGCCCTTATGGTGCAATTCTTCAACCAACCTTCTAAGATTCTTTCGTTTTTGCACGCGCCACCGTGGGAGTGGACTCCACGGCATATGTGAGAGACCATATAATTATAGAAAGAAAATATTTTGTCCATATGTTGGACCTTAAAATTTAATACATACATGATTGGCACAAAATATGTGATGGACAATAAATGTATGAAGTATGTTCCATTGAATGAATTGCATACATGTTCTATATACCAGTACCACTAAACAATAGGACCTTCAATTCTTGGACAAGGGTACAACTAGGGATGGCAACTCAACCCAAACCCGACGGGTTCCGACCTGACCCGATCCGATCGGGTCGGATTTTTTTTAAAAAAATTTGGGTTCGGATCGGGTCGGGTTTTTTTTAATGCACTGTTCGGGTCGGGTAGGGTCGGGTTTAGGGTGGAAAAAATCCGACCCGACCCGATTCGAAAAATATATATAATTTTACCCTTTTATTTAGGGATAATTACAATAATACCCCTCTATATATAATTTTTTTCAATTAAGTCACTGCTTTTTATTGAATAAAAATATATATTTTTATTATTTCGGGTCGGGTCGATTTTCTAAATCATATATTCGGATCGGATCGGGTCGGGTCGGGTGAAACCTTAATTTCGTCGGATCGGATCACGAGTGGAGGACTTTTTCTTCTCAGGTCAGGTCGGGTGACCCAAAAACCCGACCAGACCTGACCCATTGCCATCCCTAAGTACAACCTAAATTTAAATTCAATATTCACCAAATATTTAAAAATTATGGAAAATCATAATATAATTTTCTATTGATACGAGGTTTCATTTTATGATAATTTGCAACCCTCAATTGACGCTACTATTTTAGGCGTTTATGAGGAAAAAAAATATCATATTCAAATCATAATCTTGCTATTAAGGATAACAATGAATGGAATTAGGTCGAGTCAGATTTTTTTTTATCAATTTGAACTTATATGAATATTAGATTTTTCATTGACATTCGTTTTGATATGAGTTTAGGAAAGTTTTATCATAATAATGTTGGTCTGTTTGTTTGACTGTAATTGATTTTTTGAAAAATGAATTACATTTCTGGAAAACGTTTTTCGGAAAATATTTTTCGTAGAATGAATTACATTTTCCTTAAAAATATTTTTTTGGAAACGTTTTACGATGTTTGGAAGATTTTGTTTAAACCTTTTTCCCACTAGTTGATGAGTTTTTTAAAAATTATTTATTACAAATATTAAATATAATAAATAATATTATTTATCATAAAATTTAATATTATTATTTTAAAATATTAAAATAATTTATTTATTATTAAATATTATTTTTATAATTTTATTAATAAAAATATTAATATTGGTATATTTTATTGAAATAAAAATATTATAAATTATATTAATTATTTATTAAAGTAATAGTGTTATTATATTTTAAAAATATTAATTAGTATATTTTAAATATCTTTATTAAAATATTATTAGATTATTATAGTAATATTAAATATATAAATAAAATTATTCATTATTAATAATTTAATAATATTATTTCTATGAAATTAATAAATAATATAAAATTTATTAATAATTTATTATATATTATGAAAATAAAATATAATATCTTATATTATTATAATATAATTGATTATTTTATTATAATATTAAAAATAGAATATTATATTATTAGAAATATTAATAAATATATTTTAAATATTTTAATAATTAATATTTTGATTAAAATGATATTAAAATATTTTATTAATATTAAATTCATAAAATAAAATTATTTTGAGTATTTATTCTTTGAAGTGAAAAATTCGGAAAATGACTTACGGAAAATCAGACCGTAAGTAATTTTCCAGAAAACACAAAGGAAATTTTGTTGAGCAGAAAAATGTTTTACGTTGACCAACCAGTTTTTCTCCAATCAAACATTGGAAAATGAGGAAAAAAATTTCCGGAAAACGTTTTACGTAAAACAAACACAGAATTTCAAGAAAAACCAATTCCGTAATTGGTTTTTCCCCAAACAAACAGACCCTAAATTCAATATTCACCAAATATTTAAAAATTATGGAAAATCATAATATAATTTTCTATTGCATTAATACGAGGTTCCATTTTATGATATTTTGCAACCCTCAATTGACGCAACTATTTTAGGCGTTTATGAGGAAAAAATATCATATTCAAATTATAATGCTGGTATTAAGGATAATAATGAATCGAATTAGGCTGAGTCAGATTTTTTTTATCAATTTGAACTTATATGAATATTAGATTTTTCATCGACATTCATTTTGATATGAGTTTAAGAAAGTTTTATCATATTCGAAATTCAACTAAAATTTAGAGAAAAACATACATCTAATCCAACTATAATATAAGAATTATCATTTTTTAGTAAAATAAAAATATAATTGAAAAAGTATATAGAAAAATTGTATTATGACAATTAATAATGAATTGACTTTACAAAACGAACATAAAATTTTATGTTAAAAAATAAATTTATAAAATTTTAGAAAACGATAAAAAAAATCAACAAAATATATAAAAACGCTTTAATTATATAAAAATTCAAAAAATTTAAAGAATCGGTCGCCCATCAATCTCCTCGGTCCATCCGGTGGCTGTTATGACCTAATTGGAAGCTGCTAAAAATGGAATGTAGGCCAGTTGCAAGACATACGAAGTGACAATACTCCCAAGTGCATTCTGGAGTTGATGTACACGCACACGAAGAGACCGTGGCCAGAGTGCTCGACTTCGTTTTTTTCCCCTAGAAAAAACGAAAAAAAACACAGTATCCAATAAGATCTCGAGTATATTAATAACACAAGAGAGCGGGTATGAATAAAATATTGCATGCATCGTCCTTACAATTTCCCCACTGCCCCACTTTTGACATTTTCACAAAGTCAAAGAAAAAGCTAACGGGGAGAAATTATTACTCTTAAATGAAAAAAAAGAGGAAAATATTATATTTTTCCCTTGGTCTAATTATGATTTTCACCGCTCTACTTTACAAGAATCATGAAATTAATATTTTAACTTTATCTTTTAACTTTATGGGATAAACATTTTTGTTTTAATTTTCTGTATAAATAATTAACAATTACCAAGCCAGTGCACCGCCATTTCCCCACTTTTCTTTTATGCTTGTTTTGTTTTTCTTTGTTTCACACCAGAAACAAAAGTCAACGTTATCCTTTAAGTCAGCGTTTTCTTATTTTTTTCTTCCCAATTTGCGTATAAGAAAAGTCGCCGCTGGCACCGAAATCTCATCGATTTTCAGACAGCAGCTCGAAAAGAATGGCCGAGGACTGGGACCTTTACGCCATCGTGAGGAGCTGTACGTCGGCCGCCGCCAATAGCAGCAGAGACGCGGCAGTGGAAAGCAACAACAACAACAATGAGAATTGCGGCAGTTTTCGTGAGGATCCTCTGGCCTGCTTGGCGTCGTTGACGTTTGAGGAAGAAGACGATCCGTTTACATTTAAAAGTGGTTCGTTGCATGATTCTTACAAACCCTTTTTGCCGAACGTCGACCCCACCACTATAATCGCCACTAATCGAGGCATAGATCCATGTTCTTCGAGTTCTGTCCATGGACAACTTAATCAGTATCATGAACAGCCCACAACCACCTCCACCGCTGCTGCAGTTGGAATTGGCTCCCTGTTGACTCTCAGTTCCCCTAGTATTCTAGCTTTCAGCGGTTTCCGAAATCAGCAACAATTCCCACAGTCGGAGCAGCAGCAGCTTCAACAACGAGTTCAACCACCGGCTCAGAATCCAAGATCAAGAAAGAGGTAAAACGATACCGTACGTTTGTGTTCAAAAGATTGACTCCTTTTACAGTACTTTCTCAGCTAAAAATCCTCCATTTTTCTTTTTGCAGGAAGAACCAGTTGAAGAGAAACGTATGCCATGTAAAAGCATATAACTTGTCATCGGATCCTTGGGCATGGCGTAAATACGGGCAGAAACCCATCAAAGGCTCTCCTTATCCAAGGTTAATTAATTTCTATTTTAATTAAGTTTCGAATCGGATCAGATTAAATTCGAATTATAAACTCTTTTACTTAACTGAAGAATGCGTAAATTAAAAAAGAAAATTTTTGGTTCTTTCAGGAACTACTACAGGTGCAGCAGTTCAAAAGGGTGTTCAGCGAGGAAACAAGTGGAGCGTAGCAATACGGATCCCAACATCTTTATCGTAACATACACCGGCGAACACACGCACCCTAAGCCGACTCATCGGAATTCTCTTGCCGGAAGCACTCGAAACAAGGTTTCAACTCCAACTGTTCAAAAGGCCGCCATCGTCAAAGATTCCGCTGTTGAAACTATGCCTATCACCACTCCTTGCTCCTCTCCTCGCTCCGGCAACAACCTATCCCCCATATCTCCCACGACCCCACTTTCGGCACCTGAAGAAGCCGCCGCATCTCTGCAAAACGCCGGCGAAGATGAAAGCGTCGACATGGCTTTTGAAACGACACTGGGTGGGGAAAGCAACGACGAGGTTGATCTTTTGATCCCCAACGTGCATGTAGATGAAGATCTTTTTAAAGGGTTTGAAGAACTTGTTGGAAGTGGTAGTGGTAGAGTAGGACGAAGCCCGAACTTTGGTGATAACTTCTCATCTTGGAGTTCCGTTCACTCTGCTGCAACCGGCGCCGCCGCCAGCGGTGGCTGTTAGAAATTTTTTATATCTATTATTGTCATTTTTTTGTATACTACGTAATATATTTTTTGGGGAGAGGGTTGGGTACAAAGGTATTAAGGATACCTAGACTTTTATGTAATTTGATTTCCATTATATCTTTTTTATCGCTAGCAATATAATTCTGTAAAAGAAAGCATCTCGTGCATATATAACGTCATAAAATTTAGAGTAAATTACATCATTAGTGTCTAAACTATTATTTTTTTCAAAATTGTACCTTTCATTTAGTTTAATTTTCATTTCCATATCTTGCCGTTAAAAAATTAATAGAAATATTAGTGTGGCCTTTTTTATCTTTCAATGATGACATATCATTATCTTGTGGTTATATATCAACATCACTATTAAATTTTTAACAATAGAGTACCAAAATGAAACTTAAACAAAACATTATGTATAATTTTGAAAAAAAAATAAAGCTTGAGTATCAAAATGAAATAAAAATAATAGTTTAGATACTAAGCATATAATTATCCTAAAATTTACTTATGCCTATATTTATTGTTTCAAAAGCAAAATCGATCCAACTAAAATAAAAATAAAAATAATAATTACGGTTCGTAGAAAATTATTTTTATCATAATTTAAGAACGATTTATTTGAGGTGATTACAAACATTTATCATAATTAAATATTAATCATCTTACCTAAATTATGTAAATCTCATAATCAGCTTAATATAATTAGGTTGTAATTGCATAGCCAGCTTCGATCCCAAGGATCTTCTTAGTGCTTATTTTTTGTTTAACTAGCAATAAGATGAACCATGGGACATTAGGACAATATCATCATCATCATCATAATTATTAACCCTAAAAGCTTTTCCTTTTCTTTTTGGAATCCATTCATTTTGTTCCATAGAGGGGAGAAATAATGATTTTGATTTGGTAATTCATTAAACTTAATAGGAGTTTTAATTTTGTATATCATATTATATATAAATCATATGATTTTCCTTTTTATACTATTCAAATCTACTTTGTATATATATATATATATATATATATATATATATATATATATATATATATATATATATATATATAATTCCGAGTTGATATTCGAGTATTGGACTTAAACCATTGATAACCCGAGTTACCCCAATGATTGGGGAATTGAAGTTTGTGTGGTCCGATGTTTAATTGGAGGACCAAAGAGCTAATTTACTCTTTGGTTGTTTTGTTTTGACTGAAATTGTGGAAACAGATAGCTTAACCAATTTCGTTTCAGCACATTGTCTTAATTAAGATATTTGTTAAAATAATTCAATAAATTTAACTCCTTATATTTAAAAATTCTATTAATTTAGATTTTTTTGTAAGACTACCAAATCAAATAACTCCAGCATATCAAAATAAAAATCGAATAACGCAATAAATCAAGAAGAAGTTATTATATGGAAAAATAATATGAAAATAATATTACATATATTGGAGAAGAAGAAAAAAAATACTAAAATGATAGAAATCTTAAATATAAAGAATTAATTGTATTGAATTATTTTAAAATAAGATCAAATTGATATTATACCAGATCACATAAATATTTTCATCAAGTATTTAACGATCACTGATATATCTATAATAATTTATTAATTAAGTGACTTGTTTGTATATATATATTTGAACAAACTAGTTCGTAACTTTTAGAAAGAAAAAAAAATATGACGGAAATGTTATGATTAAATGATATTGGGTGTAGCTTACCCTTATTAAAGTTGCATGCAGTTTCGACAGTCGAGCTCAAGGGTGGAACCGCAAAAATAAGGGCTAGAAATGGGAGTTGAGAGTTGAGACCGTGTCATGTTCGGTGGGGTGGGAAAAGGATGGCCTTTGTCACGGGACAAAAGCCAATATTCTTTTATGTCGGTTCACAAAGGGTGGACTTTTGCTATAAGTGGCTTACAAGGTCAAATATTTTTTAAATTTATAGTTTGTTTACTTATTTAAACTTATTTTATTTGCTTAACTCTACAATTATTTTAATATTTTTTAAAAGGAGAATATGGTAATAGTTTAATGAAATATGCAATTAAGATAAATATAAATATGATCCACACATAATGATAACTATATAGAAGGAAAATTGATTATTTGTCGAATATAAATTTAACTTATTTTGAATATATGTTATCTCTACTTTAGATTCACACGATTATTCACTGACAGTTCAATTTTCATTGTTCCAATTCTATTTTGAGCTTTAAGCTTCAAAGAATATTTCGAGTGGGTTAAATTACGAAATATTCTCTCTCCCCCTCTTTTTTTATTAAAAAAGTTTATATTTATTAAAGAATTTAATTCGATTTAACTTTTCTTTTTGATAAATCTATGATCAATATAAAATAGTATATGTTCAAAGAATTTCAATCATTTGACAATGAACGCTTATATCCCTAACATATACGGTGCTCGAACCTAGAACTTGAAAGGATAACAACAAATCCTTTAACTATTAAGATCATTTAATTCATGCAGTTGTAACATATTTTAAGGACAATGTGTATGATGATCATAGTGAGGTAGCTTGAGAATCTAATGATGTTAAATTGGAGATGCGAGTTGCTAGGCCAACCTTGTCGTATAAAGCTATTTAATGGACGAATGTGACCGAAGGGTATCCTTTGTCCTTGTATACCTTTAGACGCCATATTTCTTGTGCAATAAAAAGAGTGCATTGCACTAAGTTTTTAAACTACTACTATCATTTTAGATTCATCTTTTAATTTATGAATATTTTAATTTTACTTTTAAATTATGATTCTTATTCTAAATTAAGCTCTAAATTATTTATCATTCCAAATTCCTCTCACATAATTATTCAAAAGTTTAGGGATGAAATTAGAGCATTCAAAAGTTTAGAGAATAATATAAAATGAGGGTCATAGTTAAAAGACGGATTTGGAATGTTCAAAAGTTTGAGGAATAGAAAATAGTCACATTTTAAAGATGAAATTAAAATATTCAAAAATTTGAGGACTAAATTATAATACAATTTAAAGGATATGTAGTACAATTAACTTATAAAAAAGTGAAGTTGAATTAAAGATTTTTTTTATCTTTACTGTTCGTTTTCACTTCCAATGTTGTTGATAGATACTTTTATGTATATTGGAATTTTATTTTAGATGTTTAATTTTGTGTATTTAGATATTGCAGAATAATTGTACGAAAATAAAATTATTGAGTTAATAATTTGTTTTTTATAATTATATCAGTTAATTACATCCTATGTTTCCAAATTATAACTCTCGTTTTAAATTGGTCCTTAAACTTTTGAACATTTCAATTTCATCCCTAAACTATGAATATAATTCTAAATTAGTCCTCAAACTTTTGAACATTCTAATTTCATCCCTAAACTATGAAACACTTTCTAAATTGGTCCCCAAATTTTTGAATATTCCAATTTCATCCAAATATATGATTAATTTCAAACATAAAAAAATTAACTGACCCTATTCCCATATATAATGGGGTAAGGGGGAGGTAGGGTAGTAGGCTGCCCCTAACACCAGGTTGAGAGCAACTTCCGTGGAAGACCTCCGACAGTCGATTAATTTCAAACATAGTTTAACCTAAATTTTATTTCCCCCCAAACATATAATAATTGAACTTGGCCTAACAATTTTATTAACAAGGGATGTGATTAGTATATGCGTATAGTTTGGGATGAAATTAGAATGTTCAAAAAGGTTAATGACTAATTTAAAATGAATGTCATAGTTTGGGGATGAAATTGAAATGTTCAAAAGTTTGAGGACTAATTTAGAATGATAGTTATAGTTTTAGGGATGAAAATCCTCTTTCATCTTCATCTCCGAATATTCTAAGCAAGTGTTTGAATGGAAAAGGGAAATAAATTAAAAATAGAACAATGAATAAATAATAATAATAATAATAATAATAATAATAATAATAATAATAATAATAATAATAATGGTGACAACGATGACGACGGTCGATGGTGAGCGACAGTGATTAGTTGCGCCCAAGTGTTGTAGACTTTGGTCAAATTCATGGGTCAAGTTGATATTTTATCCAAAGTTTAGTGGTCAAAATGATATTCCATCTAAAATCTAGGCTCAAAATAGTATTGCATCTAAAGTTTAAGGGTTAAATTAAAAATTAACCTCTTGTGACTAACGTGCACGTCATCAAACTAACAGACGTTAACGACTCAATGATCAAAATGTAATAATCGATAACGTAAGTGACCAAAAGTTAATAAATCGATAATATAAGTGACACAAATAGAGGATATAAACCATATTTTCCGGCACTGCATTGTCGTGAAACCTATCTGGACAACACTAGTGAAAAACGAGAGCTTACAGAATTTCCTAACAATGGACATAAGGAATTGGATTGAAGTGAATTTAACAAAACCAAACATGTTTGCTAAAGAAAGTAAAGATTGGGAATTCCTATTGAACATATGGACCATGAGGAACTCGATTGTCTTCAACAATCCTATGGAAGATAACACAAGAATATTAGAACAAAGCCGCAGGATGACAAATTTGATAAGCAACGCAATTAGAGACAAAGACCAGGCGAACAAATCACAACCAATTGAATTGGTTGATCCAACGGTTTGGCTACCTCCACCAGAGGGATGGAACAAACTTAATACAGATGAAAAAGCGGCATGTGGAGGAGTAATCAGAGATATGAATGGACAATGGAGAATCGACTTCAAAAAATTCATAGGAATATGTTCTACAATAGAAGCAGAATTATGGGGAGTATATACAGAGCTAAGGTGTACATGGGAACAAGGAAGAATCATACAGGAACCTCCTGCTGATATAAGCAAACTCTTGAATGAAAAAGGAAATTAGGTTTAAGCAATTAGGTAGTTTTCATTTTCTTACAAAAAAAAATATGAGAAAAGTATAAACGGAATCAAGTTTTAGTGTTTTCTTTTCAGCCGTTTCCTATTTTGCTTCCTGTTGCACTCTTTATTTTTAGCCTTTGTACGTTCTTCTCTAATTCTACTATTTCCTTTGATTATATGCTTTGATTTGCTATAGTACTCTTCAAAATTATCAGTTACTAAGAAAACGAAGGAAAACACAACTGTTTATTGTATGCTTTAGGGTTAAGTGTTCGAGTGGAAAAACAAATGAATTAAAAATAAAATAATGAAATAAATAATAATAATGGTGGCAACACTGATGATGGTCGATGGCGACCGACAATGATCGGCGTGCAATAATGGTTAGTTGCGGTTGGTGGTGGGAGACTTTGGTCAAATTCATGGGTCAAGTTGATATTTTATCCTACTATTAGTGGTCAAAATGATGTTCCATATAAAGTCTAGGCTCAAAATGTTATTGCATCTAAAGTTCAAGGGTCAAATTAAAACATAATCTCTTTTGACTAACGTGTCACATCATCAAACGAACATACATTAAAGGCTCAATGATCAAAATGTAGTAATGTAAATGATCAAAATTTAATAAATCAATAATATAAGTGATCAAAACTTAACTTTTTAAATTTGATGAGTAAAAGTGTACAAATATGAAAGAAAAGTGATAAAAATAAGATAACACCTTAATAAACCAAAAAATAAGTTATTTATCTTCCCTCTTTCATGTCCCGAGTTTAATATCCGATGAAACAAAAAAAAATTCAGATATCAATAACAAAAATATTTCATCGCTCGACGTGAAAGATTTATAATATACAAAATCAATCCATATTTAATAAAACCAAAAGAATAGTATTACTTGTCCATTAAAGAGTTAGAAGAAACAATACATCTAGATACATAAATTATGTTGGGTAGTTTGTACTTGTCCATTAAAGAATTGTATTACTTGTAAACTTCAAGCAACCGTTTTCTACATTTACTGCAAATTGTTCACAGTAGTCACCGGCCTTGTATGATTGAATTTGAAAGACACCTCCGTTTTCGATTAAGAGTAGGAGCAGAAGAAAAGGATTTAAACTGCAACTGCATACAATTGCAAGGCAATGCGACCAAGCTTTACCGGTCAGGGATAAAGTTTGTAGGTGCCAGTGCTAGTGGACTAAGAGACTCGAGAATTGCAAGATTTCTTGATATCATCCTCACAGAAAACATGAATCTTAAAATCTCGACTACCAAAATTCATGCCATGACAGAGCGTTTAGTGAGCAATCTAATTGCGATCGAGATGTTAGCTACTGATGAAACAAAAGTATGAATTGACTTTATAACATTTTTTTGACCAAATTATAACATCCTAACCCGTATCCGACCCAAATACGAATCTAAGGTATCACATTGACTTTTCAAAATATTTACTTCTCAAAACTGGTCAATAATTTGAAAAGTAAATATATCATATCAAAGCAGTGAAACCCTTAAATAAAAGTAAATTGTAGAAAAGTTTATACTCGAATTTGAAATTAAAAAAAAACTTAATAATTTACATTAATATAATCAAGTATGTTTACAAAATTCGATCAGAGCATTTTCGATTTAAGCGTTCATTTACATGCCAACAAAATAACATATAACAAAATAACATACAACTTAAATCAATTATGATATGATCTTCTGGAGAGCTATGTTGTCTTGACTCGCCCTAATCTTGATCTCCCGACTTTTTTAAACCTATGTGTGAAAATCACTCACACGCTAAGTCATTGACTTAGTGAGACATATAAAATGTATAATAAAATATTACATCACTTAATCATATTCTAAGCATTTTATACAATCATGTAAAGAAACTATAGAACACATCATATACAAAAGCATGAATGCATATATATACATATCATTATCATTATCACTATTCAAAACAATTAAACCATTTAAAACATATAATCTTGTACTTAACCTTTGTAAAATATCATATAATACATAAATCATAATACATTTCATAAAGCAAAACATATAACATCACACACTGTTTATTCATGTTATCTCTTTTAAAAGCCCATGGTAATTTTCTGAGAACTTAAGGTATGTGAGTGCATTGGGGTTGTGCACAAATATTGTCACCACATCTCGTATAAATTGCACCAAAGTGCCGCGTAGAAATTTTACCGAAGTGCCACATAGAAATGTCCCGAAAGACCACATAGTATTGTCTCGAAGTGTTGAACTATGTTTTGAAACAACAATTTATGGCAAAATGTTTTTGGACTAGAATTGAATTTATTCAAAGTTTTCAAAGTTGACAAAAATATTTCAAAGTCCATTTAATTTGGAATTGAGCATAAAAATGTTTTTATGAATAGTACTGCACTGTATGAATAGTACCTACACTGTATGAATAGTACCGATACTGTGTGAACAGTAATGAACAGTACTGATGCTAAAAAATTCCATAATGAAAAATGGGTATCGATACTGCTACAATATTTCAAGCCATCGATCATAAAATTCAAATATTACAAAGGTAGTACCGATACTCATTGAAGGAGTATCGATACTACTTGTTCTGGGCAATTTTATTTTGCAGAAAATGAATCCCCAATGGCTCCAAAACACCCTCAATGGCTAGATACGACTTCAAACTCATTTCAACCTATAAATACAAGTTCAAGACACTTGAAGAAGTAAGAGAACACCTAACCAAGTATTCAAACACAAGAAAAGAGTTTTTCAATCTTATTTTTCTATTCTCTTGTAAATATTGTGTTCTTGTGAGCTTAAATTTTGTAAACACCCTACCTTTGAGAGGTTTTCTTGTTTACATCTTTTATCCTTTTGTAAAAGGAAATGTTCTAGCTGAGCCCTTGAAAAGCTAGGGATAAGGTTCTAGTTTAGCCCGTGAAAAACTGGGGAGTTGTAAAGGTTATCTCTTTGTCCTGTAAAAAGAAAGAACAAATTAGTAAATTTGTATGAAAATCCTTGGTGAGGAGCTAAGGTAGTGGATGTAGACTTGGTTGAGAAGTAGAACCACTATAAATCATTGTGCAAATTTTCTATCTTTCAATCTCCTTACTCCCTAAACACAAGAACCGTCCCGAACCCTCTTGGCGAACTCTTTCGGTTATCGATTCCAGCTTCCGAAAATCCCAATAATTGGCATCAGAGCCAAACTAGTTAGAAGGTTTAATCACCTTGAGACGATCCTAGAAGTAGCTCTACCAATTTCCAAAGCAACCGACAAGAAATGACTTCCACATCCGGCTCGTTCTACATGGAAGACTCCCAACCGATCGATAAGCCTCCACTTTTCAATGGAGCAAACTATCATCATTGGAAGAAATTAATGAAGCTATTCATACAATTCAATGATCTTGATGCATAGGAGATGATCGAGAACGACTACTCTAATCCAAAAAAGAAGGATAAGAAGTGGAGTGACCAAGAACGGAAGAAAGCTCATCTTAATGCCAAGGCCATGCACATGTTGTTTTGTGCATTTGGTTCAGATATATATGAAGGAGTTTATTCTTATTCAAGTGCCAAGGAGCTTTGGAATAAGCTCAAAAAGCTTCATGGAAACAAGAAAGAAGAACCAACAAAGGTGGTGTCTTTAATGGCTCGTGAAGAGCCCGAGGTATCTTCTAGCTCAAATGAATTAAATTCATATTCTTTTGATGAGTTACAAGCTGCCTACGATGAATTATTTTCAGAGTTTGAGACCATGAACTCCAAATATAGGAAAATGATTTCAAAATTTAAAATTGAAAATGATTTTCTTTTGAAAGCAAAAATAGATTTTGAAAATCAAAATGAAATATTGAAAAAGTATTTAGAGCTTTCAAAAATGAAAATTGAAAGTTTCGAAGAAAAAACTTTGATTTAAAAGTTAAGCTTGAATGCTTAACAAAAGAAAAAGAAATCATTTTAAATAATTCATCTAGTTTAATAATGGCAAAATACTCACATTGCCATTATCATGGTCACAAGGAACATACTTGTCAATTGAATAAAGGAAAACATTTTAAAATTAGACAAGTATGGATTCCTAAGGGAACAAGGGGCATTGAAACTAACGTATAAGGATCCAAAGCAATTTGGATACCAAAATCGAAATGAATGTCTCTTGTAGGTGTGTGAGAGAAATGATAATGAAAGTGAAGATATTCAAATGCTCTAGCCACACATGAAAAAGGAATAGGTAACCTCTAAACTTAAAGCTGTTGTTTTTGATTAATTGGTTGCTCATTTAGGTTTATACATGCATGAGTTTTAAACTTAAATGATTTTGTGTTAAAATTCTAGCTCATGTATGTTAAAAGGAAGTTATGATGAACATTTTAAAATTTTAATGATTTTTCATAATTTTTAGTTCATCATAATTAAATTTGGTCAAAATTGATTTTAAATGCAAATGATATATCTCTAACAATTGATATCAACTTTTCAAATACTTTGATTTTTCAAATTTTAAATTTTTGACCTAAATTTAAATGATTATGCATATGTTTTAAATGCAAAAGATATATCTCTAACAATTGATATCAAATTCTTCAAATGCATAACATTTTTGAAAGCTTTATGCATATGCACTTAATTTCAACAATTGATTTTGCATAAATTATTTTAGACTTGGATACATTGAATTTCATGTTCTACTAACATGTTTGTTATTCTTTGTTGAAATTCAATTTTGTTTAAGTGTCAAGTTTTTAAAGCTAAATTTTGTTTGGAATGCACTTATTGAGGGGGAGCTTTGATTTTTCAAATAATTTTTTAATATCAAATTTATCACTTACTCTCCATTATTATTTTAGAACTTTAAAGATTGAATTATTTTTGATATAACAAAAAAGGGGAGAAGTTTGGTTTGAAAATTTTAATTTCTTAATGAAAAAGGGGGAGCTTAACATTTTCATATATTTTTCAAACAATTGATGTCTTTTTCATTAAATATTTTATTAAGGG